GTGTCATATTTGAGGGTAGGTAGCATATTCTGCTACTCTTCAAATTATCCTTATGAACGCTTATATTTTCTGCCTTGATCATAATAAACATAAAGGAAGGACAATGCCTGTTTTATTCATAGTATGTAGACAACTTCTCACAGTGCTAAATGCCTACCTGCATGCTAAACTAATACAAGCAAATGAAAGAATATGTCAAACATGGCCTACTTTCCTTTCATAAACCTGAATTGTCCTCAACTGTAAAGTTAGTGTTAATTGTACTGGTAGTCATTGTGGGGCTTACAGATAGCCTGTATGGGGCTTACATATAGCTTGGTCTGGCTACATTTGTGACTTTAATGAAGGAAAAGAAATTTGACTGTTTTAGCAATGGTTACAATGGTAAATAAATCCCTTGGAATTTATATAGGTGCTTATGCTTTAAAACACTTTTTCTGAAGACTCCCACCTCATAGAATCGTAAGAGTGGAGTCCCAAAAAAGGTAGCTCTTTATTAATACCCTATCTGGCCCACTTCTCATTAGGGAGGCTTAAAGCATTTGATAGGTAGAAGATATGCCCCTGAGCTCCAGGCTGAAAGTCAGGTCATTAGTATGCAGTGTCCTTTGGTGCTCCACTCCTTAAGCCTTAAGCAGTCATTAACATTTCATGGAAATCCAGGAAGCATTCCATTTAGAACTGAAGATTTTGGCCTGAGACTTGAAATGAATCCAAAACAATACAAATAAATAAATAAACAAAGGGACTAGTCAATCATAGAGTATAAAATTAAAGTGAATTCCCATAGTTTTATCAATATCCCTTTCTCAAACATTTATTACAATATCTGTAATTCAAAGGTGATTTTGCACATTTGCAGATTCTATCTTTCAGATCAAGGTACAAGGTTTTAAGCCAAATTCTTCCAGAAGCAACCTAATTTTTGAGAGTTAGGAACTTTTAAAAATACATGTATTTATGCTTTCAATCTGGAACTACAGGAAGTACTCCATTTTTTCCTGGAGGTGGAAGGGAGTGTTTTCTCCTTTTGAAACTGCATTATGGGGGAGAAAGTTACTGATAATTATGACACAGCAAAGGTTAGATCATGAACAAGTCAGTGACCTTGACCCCTGGTCGATACAAACTCCTTGTGAAATGAGAAGCTTGACTGCCTCAATTATACTTATATAGGGTTTGAAGCATTCTGTCAACTGTATTTTAGCCTTTGAGTAGTGGCTGGGCAAATACTCAGAAAGGTGCTACCAGCTTTCTGTTGCTCTGGTGTCCTACTGGAAAGCCACCTGAAGGAAGAATCCCATATGAGAAAATCACTTTGCAATTACAGCAGACTATAGTGTAAATTGGAAATGCTTCACCATCAAAAAATATAGCTTGAGGGACAGTGTATAAGTCCTGATCTGCTTCTGAAGGCCTGAGAACGAGGAGCACCCATGTCTGACAGCAGGAGAAGTGGGGTGTCTCACCTCAAGTATGGAACACATTTGCCTTCCTCTGCCTCTTTATTCTATTCAGGCTCTCAGCAGATTGGATGGTGCCCACCTGCATCTGTGAGGACAACATTTCTGTTCAGTCTACTAATTCAAATGCAAATCTCTTCTGAAAACATAGTCACAGACACTTCCAGAAATAATGTTTAGCAACTACGTAGTATCCCTTAGCCTAGTCCAAAACTAATGTAAAGCTAACCATGACATCTAGTCAGTACTAACATTGTCTTTGTTTCTTAATTTCTCCTTCTCTTTGTACAGGAGCAGTGAAAAATTGGCATGCCCATAGTGAATAGAACCTCATTGACTTTTGAGTCCTCAGGGATCAGAATTGACTGTCCTTTGGGGTGATGGGGTAATGAAATAACAGCTATAAACACTCCGTTTTGTTTCGTTTGTTATAAGCAACTCCACTTTATACTAACACTGGCTATTACAGTGGTCTCCAGCATACTGAGGTGGGAAGCTACCAAGAGCATCAGCTTATAATTTTACTACTGAGATGAAGACTTAAAAAGTTCCATTAATATATGATCTAAGGAAGGTTTCTAAAATGCCATTTTAGATAATTCTGATACTTTTCCTGGGAGGTTACTATGAGTGATTAGGTATTTAACATTGATTTTTGAGAGTAATTTCTTAGAAAAGGCTAGGCCAACTCTGACACATGCATACCATGGGATGCTACTCCAGAAAAAAAAAAAAAAGGAATAAGCTGTTATTAATACAGCAGTGTAACAGAAATTATAAAAACAATATGCTGAAGGAAAGAAATCTTACACAAAGCATACATACTATATGATTGTTTTTTATATAAACCTAGAACAAGCAAAACTAATCTGTGGTTAAAAAAAAAATCAAAAAAGCGTTTGCCTTAAGAGGGGGTTGGCAACATTCTTGATAGGAGATTGGGTAACAAAAGCGCATATGTAGCTTTATTGTATGCAAATTTTATCCCCAAAATGTAAACAAAATAATGACAATCATAATGAAAAATTTGGGGTGAAGTATACTAGTACCTACAATTAACTTAGAATTGCAGAAACTACAACAAAAATAAATTGATAGGTAAATACACAATAAGGCATATATACTAATTGTCACATTCGGGTAGTTTTTCAAGTGTTCATTTTCCAGATCTCTCAACTTTTTTGTCAATTTAAAACACTAAAAATACAGTTTCAGAAGAAATCTGTTTACATAAAACATGGAGGGTAATCTGGATAGTGTTTTAAATGATGCAATATTGTTTAAAGTACTGGACATTCTTAAAGAAATTACATTTCTTGTCAAGTTAAATGAGAATTTGTTACATTGCCTTTTAACAAAATACTGTTAAAAGACATAAGTTGTAAACACATAGGGATTTCTGAATTTGCCACATGTCATATGGATTCTTATGAAATAAAATTTATAATTAAAAACTACTTAGTGTCCTGGTTTTGACTACATAGGGCTTTAGTTTTCATTTTTTCTTAATCCCTGTGAACTCTCTTTTAGAAATGATGGATTCTGAAATGCAAAGAGGAGTAGTAAGCAGGTGATAAAATTCAAAGAAGAATAATGTATATTTTAATGGTATAAATTAACTCCAATAATATCATTGGTATAAATTAACTCCAATAATTGTTGTAAAATAGTATCCAGTATTGACTTTTCATACTCTAAGAATTACTGGACTAGAGGAAGACTAGCGTGGGTTCAGAATGACCATGATAGATGAAGGCATTGGACTTTTTTCAAATACACAAAGTTCAGCAGAAACCTGTATCCAAATCCACTTTTCAGGACGAAAACCAAGGAAAAATGTGGAATGGAGAAGGAATAGGTCTGAATCTGTGATTTTGGACACAGAATGTTCTGTTCACTGAATATTCACTGCCCCTTGTGTAATGAATGGAATCAACTTTGAGATGTACCTGTACATACACACACACATATGTGATGTATGTATATACATACACCTATACATATATATAAAGTATGTTATGTACACATTTAAATATATCTTTAAGTAATTAACGAAATAAGTATATTTTTAGGGAGGGTCAAGAAAACTAAAATAATTAAAAAATGTATTTATGAGGAAAATCTGAAGAAAGAAAAAAAATTCTCAAAATGCTTCAAGACAGAAGATTCAGGATTTCCTTGCTTCCCATTTTCAATTACATCGAGTGCTTTATGAGGAGTTACTATGAAAAACTAACAAGGGAAATTGATTTAAGCCATACTTCACTGTGTATGGAAAGTATCTCTTGACTTCAAGGTTGATTAAACTCTAGAGTAATTAGCAAGAAATATGATGGAATCTACACATTGGGAAATTATATAAAATATAAATTGTGGTGGTTCTATGTTCATCTGCCAGAGGTTGAGGGCAAATTCAGATGATTTCTTGAAGAAACTCCCTGGATCTGCAGTCTAATATTTCACTCCACAATAAGGCTTTGAAGTTAGCTTGAAACTACATTATGTATTTCAGGACTTTCTATTAGAAATGACAGTTTAAAATATGCTTTGATTAAAAATTCACTAATGGCCCTTCTTGGTGGCGCAGCGGGTTAAAGCAAAGCACTAAGAAGCTAAAGCCACTTCTGCATGAGTTCGATGCCCACCTGCCCGGGAGGTGACCACATGGTGTGGCAGACCTCTCCTGACCTGCCCACTGCTCCCCTCAGCAGTGTACTTCGTAGATCTGCCTGTTCTGCTCCCCACTCTGTCTCTGGTGAAACCTCTCGCCGCCCCTAAGCTTCTGGCCTATACCCCAGTTCTGTATGCACAAATAAATAAATCTAAAAAAAAAAAATTCACTAATGTACAGCAGCACCGCTATGATACTGTAGTCGATATGTGCTGAGTTTTTAAATGTTCTTATCACAGAAAAAAGTACAAAAACTAGCAGTATTAGTGGATATATTAACTAGTGTGATTCTGATGATTTTTTACAATATTGATGCATCTCAAAACATGAAGTTGTAGACCTTAAATATAAACAATTTTAAAGTTTTTATTTTTGAACTATACCTCAGTAAAACTAAACAAAGTCACTGTATTGAATGATTCTCCTTTCATTAGTTTTGTCTCATAATAAGTGATTGCATATTGCTTTGGTGACCTTGTAACACTGTGCTTAATTTAGTTTCTTACTTTATTTTTATTATAAACAGAGTGTATTCTGTCATTTTTTTCTTATTTTATAACATAATGAAAAGGGAGATTTTAATATTTAAATATAATATTATTGTATTAATGAGTGCTTTCTATTGGTGAAAGGGCCCCTACTTGAAAATAAGTATGAATAACAGCCTTTGCTTCTTATCCTGCTAATATCCCATTTCAACCTGCAAGGCCAGTTAGAAAGAAATGAAGTAAAATTGTTTTCTTTATGAATGACTAATCTTTCTGAGAGTCAATATGGCAAAATCTTCTTTTGCATTTTCCATTGTAGTCTCTCCTTTTGATTTCTTAATCTTATTCCTTGACTTATTTGACTTTTATCCTTTTCAGAACAAAACTTGCTGCCTGTTGTGATGCTGTGCAAAACTTCGTTGTTTCTCAAAATAACACTCCAGTTGGGACTAACATCAGTTATGAGGTGGAGAGTAAATATGAAATTTTAATTAGACAGAACATTTTTAATATGTTTCCAGTGGTGAGTAAAGATTTGCTGTGGTTTATTTGTGAGAGCATTCCAGGTGAATTTACTCTTTCACTTTAAATTATAGTAATGCAGGTGTTAATTAAAACACTATATTAACACTCTGGTATGTTTTATAAAATATGTGTAGCAGTCCATTTTTAAAAGGCATTTCTGAATGCAGACTGGCTCTGTAAGGAATGGTATTTATCCCTTAAATGATAAGCTCTCTAGTCCTTGAGTCTTCATGACTCATCTTGAAGGAGATGAGGTACTTAGGCTCTCTGCATAGTAATTACTGGCACTTGGATGATGTCCATTTTTCACCTGGAATAAGATTCTTGCAGTTGTCAGGCTGGTTGACTAAATCAATTACTTTACAAAGAACTGCAGGTTTATGTGGGGGAAGTAAATATCTGAGAATTTGTGGTCAATAAACACAACCTCTGTAAGACAGGGATTTTTGTCGTGTGTGTTCATAGATCTATCCAGAGCTTCTAGAACACTCCCCAGTGTACTCACTACATATTTGTTAAATAAACTAATGAATATTAATATGGTATCATTATAAGAAGAAACTCATCCCTTCATATAAATCCAGTGGGGGGATGGATTTTGTCATGAAGAACATTCCACTGCTTATAAACATACACTCTTGGGCATCATTGGTTAAAAACAATCAGGCCAAGTTAGTATTGTCAAAAATAGGGTCACTTTAGAAATGCTATAGACTATTTGATACTTACAAGTAATTCCCTTCTGTTTGATCTTTGCCTTCTTCCAAGTTATTTGCTTGTCATGTATGTTTTCCCAATTTTTTTTATATTACAATTCAAAGGAGCATGATTTTTTTTTTGAGAATAAATAAGAAATAAATAGAAAACTACAGAGTCAAAAGAAACTTACCACAAGGAAAGGAGGAAAATATAGCTTAAGCAGCACTCTAAAAAATGCCCTCATGATGCATTGAAATGACCAATAGTTGAACAGATAAGAATAGCTAAAGAATATGTTCCCTATCAGGGAACGTCTTGAAAAGTTCCACAATGAGCCTCGTGTTCAGTAATTTTTGCTAGTATTTTCTTGCTTTACACTGACCAGAACAAACAGGTCCCTTGCCTCTGTTGGACCCTCTAAAATTAATACCATAACCTAGTTTTGTTAATTCTATATGTGATTAAGAGCATTCATTTTCCAAGGTTGTACTGATTTTTAAGTCTGTGGGTGAGGAGGAAATCAGTACAGTAACAATAGCAAAACTTGTCTGTGTTGCTTCAGTATTTGCACTCAATGAACATGACTTCTGGTAAAGAGTATCTCTTCCCACCTAGCTACCTTCACTCACCCTGCTGTGCTCTGCCCCACTCAGGCCTGCTCTGCTTCACTTGGGTGCCCAGGACTTGGGCCACATGGCAGGATGCAATAAATGCATTTGAATGATGTGAATGTCATTTCCTTCAAAAACTTTCTAAGTTACTTGAAAAGGAAAATGATAAAGTTGGCTTTCAACCAGACTGAGAAATGAGCAGGCAGTTGAGTGGCACAAATTTGCATTTTCTTAGCAGGTTTATTTTAGGTAATACTGCAGTTTGTAATTTATTTAAACTCTTACTGAATATGAGATCCCAAAGCATTTGGATGTTTTCCCCCAGATGACCAAGAAACCAGAGAAAAACATTCATTATTTCGAATGTTTAATTGGAGATTGGTTTCCCTCAGTAATCTTTTCCATTGTATGAGAAATCACATATTTGCATTCTGTCCTATCTATAAAATTCAGGATTTATTGTGCTTCTGTTAGTAAGCACTGTCTGAAGACATCTTGAGCTAGAAGTGCAGTGAGTCGAGATAACCTGAGGTACCCAAAAACCATCCATTGAAAAGCCAGACAATATGCTAAGCCTTGCAGATATAAAAAGATATAAAAAGAAATAAGACTTGTACTTAAGTTAACATTTTTCCACTGAGAGAGAGGAGAAGCATCACGTGGTGAGTAAGGTCAGGGGCTCTGGAGCAGACTGCCTGCATTTGAAGGCACATTGCCACTGCTTGCCAATCCTTAAACTCCTGCCTCCATTTCCCCATCTGTGAAACTCCTGTGGTGGCTGTGTTCATCAGGTATGCACTGGGAATGGTAGCTCATGCATACTGAGCACAGTATGATTTTTAACTTTTAGAGACAAACCTAGAAGTGCTAAAACAGGTTTTTGTGTTTTGTTGGTTGTTGTTTTTTGCTTGCTTGGTATCTCCTAGATGCAGTATTGGGAACATAGTGTTGAGGGGTCTCTTGGATTGCCCAGAACTGCCTCAACCCGAGATATTTCCAGTGATGCTAATCAATGACAATTATAAGCTGTCAATGCTCTTACCATGGTCAGTGTTGATTTATCGAAAGTTTCACAACCAGATCACAAATTCCAGAACATTTACTTGTTGGCTCCCACGTGTAGGTGGAAATAGGCTCCAGCACAATGCTGGGAGTTACATAGGATGGGCGGTTGGGTCAGCAAGCTCTTAGAGAAAGGTCACTGTGTGCATTGCCTGGTGTTAGGTCTGCCAACGAGGAGCAAGATTTAAAGTGGGACACACACTTTGTGCCCTTGAGAAGGTACACTTGAATTCCAGAGACAAAGGGGTAAATCAGGACCTCATCACTATGAAGTCTGAGCTGGCATCCCAGCTGCTGATCAAGGTCACAGCTTGACTTCAGGGAAAGCTACCAACAAAGAAAAGGTATTAAACTGAAAAGTTATGCTTCAGACGAAGGAGGATTCGAGTAAATCTTCTAGGGAAAGCAAGTTGGGTTCTTGGAGGAAATAAAAAGGATTCGTTCTTGGAAATTAATTGAAAATAGGTCAGTTCAGATCTAGAAGGACTCCCTGAAACACCCTTGGGGGTCATAGGTGAGTGGGGCCAGCATATATCTCATACCATCCCTGACCCTTAACTTTCACTCAATTAACTATTCATTTTATTTCCAAGAATAGAGAACAATGCTTCTTTCTAAATGCTTTATTTTCCCTTTTTTGCTGAAAACATTCTGTGTTGGTAAGGTCCAAAGTGGCTTTTGCCATTCTCTTTTTATTTACTTCATTATGTGACCTAAGTACATTATATTACATGTTACATACAAATATGCATTTATTACATTAAACTGCATATGATAGGCTACCTATTTCTTTCAAGAGAAATGAAACTTAGGTTTATAGAACTTTTTATTATAGTCATAAGGTGATCAGCATGCTCTAGTGTTTCTGCTTCTGCTTGTTGCTCTACCTTCCTTAGTATGTATAAAAATTAAGCTACATGAGTTAAGCTGATGGTAATGGTGTTTTAAAACTAAATATCTTTTTTTCTTTTTTTATTTTATAAGTTTATTTTTACATCATTTTGTACATTTTTTTTTTTGCCAGCTCAATTGTAATCCCCGCGGGTTTCCCATCACCAAGTCACCCATGTGCCATCACCATAATCCCGTGCACTTCCCTCCCCACCCTCCTGTTTTTGATCCCATTCCCCACTCCACCCCCACAAAATGTCTCTGGTATATGGTTATTCATTATTTTTGTTATTTTTCTCGCCTGGCCCATTATACTCCTGCTATGAGTGAAACCATCTGCTATTTTTCTTTCTCTTTCTGGTTTATCTCACTAAGCATCATCTTTTCCAGCTCCATCCAAGTTGCTGCAAAAGACATGTGTTTCTCTTTTTTGATTGTTGAGTAATATTCCATTGTATATATGTACCACATCTTTTTTATCCAGTCATCTACTTTGGGGCATTTGGGCTGCTTCCATGTTTTTCCAATTGTAAATAAAGCAGCAGTAAACATGGGGTAAGGTATCTTTTTCAATCAGTGTTTTTGTGTCTTTTGGGTAGATACCTAGGAGTGGGATTGCTGGGTCGTAGGGAAGTTCCATGTTTTGCAAAAACTAAATATCTTTTTATAGTGTTTTTTTTTACTTTCTCCTGATAGTCCCAGCCATTAATGGAGTACCCTTACAATCAGTGTGCAGTAGTTGGAAATGGAGGAATCCTGAATAAGTCTCTCTGTGGAGCTGAAATAGATAAATCTGACTTCGTTTTTAGGTAAGAGCTGTCAAGCTGGTTTCTTTGTATCCAAAGATCAGTTGGGGGATAGAGTTAAGAAAATGCATGCAAATTTCAACTTTGAGCCAGTGTTTAAATCTACAAATTATCTTGGTAGGGTTTCCTGAAATGTTGAATAAATCACAACCCTTAAGAATGCTGATACCTGAAGGATCAAAACGTACTGTGATCACTTTTCAGAAACTCTGGATGAAGTGATGGTAGAAGAGGGTATGTGCTGAAGGACTATCAGAGCTTTCAGTACATTCATGTTAGCATAGCTCCCTGGGAAGCATTCTAGGTCTCCTACTCATCTTGAGGACATTTGCACCTGTTTATTGCTGCATTATTTATAATAGGGAAGATGTGGAATGAACCCAAATGCTCAAAAACAGATGACTGGATCAAGAAGATGTACATATACACAATGGAATACTACTCAGCAATCAGAAAAAGATAAACTCATGCCATTTGCAGCAACATGGATGGAGCTGG